CAATGGTTCCGAGTGACATGTTACAAAATTTCATAAGGCTGTTGTGTTTTTTTATTAGTTCCTATATCTATACTTTTGGGTTCTTGTGGGAACAAATTGCAAGGAAAAAAACAAAGAAAATAATATTAATTAATTAATTATATCACTCATATTGTCATTCCTTTTTGGAATTTATATAGTAAAAACAAGAGAAATTCTATGATTGATTTTTTTTCTTCTTCTTCGGTTTTATATACGATTCAAAGCTATCTAATAATTGAGTCCTCACTATCCCACCATCAGTTTTCCAATCCTACACGAATTCGATTCCCTAAATAAAGACAAAATAATATTCCCAAAGCCAAAAATAAAATAAAAAATTCAAGCAAAAAATTACATGTGTAGTGGGAAACAGCTACAATTTCCACGTGTTTATCCACGTAGATTCTTTTTATTTATCTCTCCTTTTTACGTCCACGAACGAAATCAATATTTGCCTCGCGCGTGACCACACGCGGTATCCGCGAGTATAGGAAACCAGACGTGATGAGATTTGTAATTTGGGCCACTTATAGTGGATTGTCGGGCCCACTCGTCTCTCAACAATTTTTTATTATTTATTATTAGGTTTTTAGTTGAAAAATTAGTTATTAAAAAAAGGCGGCTTCCTTCAAATTCAATTCTTAGCATCAGCCGTCGATCTTACCATACTACGCTTCTAATCTGGACCGTAGATTCCTACTTCAAGGAGGATTAATAGTTTGACTCTGACTATTAACCGTTAGTAAACACAGTTTTGACGTAAGTTTATTATTTTATTTCAAACTTTGAAAATAATAATTCTGGAAAAACACTTTGCTTTAAATGTTTGACCAAATTAAAAATTGGTATTTTGATGGTTTTAATAGTGTATAGTTACAGCCGCTAGTAATGGATTTGCTTGTTTTTGACATTAGTCTTATCTCGTTACATTTCAGTTTGCTAATTAAAAGAAAAATATACTATATCTTATCTTAGAAATGACGTTGTTCTACTTAATGATATGATAAGACATTTTAAATATATATGTGGAAATACGTAAAAGGATTAAGGGCCTTAAATAAAAGTAGTGAGAGTATAGTTTTCTTAACTATCTTAATTCAGTCTCATGATTCAGGCGGTTAATTAACCTTTTCATATTGTAAATTTCAAACGCCAGCGTAAAACATGAGTATAACGGG